GATAAATACCCAGATTATATCATAATAAATAAAAGAAAGCACTTTAAACTCCTGTATTAAAAACAACAGTTGACATGTCGGCAAAGCATCAATCACATCAAACTACGTAAAATGTTTCCAACTTGGAATAGTAAGAAGTACCTGGTACTTAAATCATTCTAACCACACAAGGAAATAAGCATGAATACCAGATTTTCTATACCAAATGGATTTCAGTTTGTATTTGCAAAACGTAATGCCTGAAAGATTATATAATTACCAAACACAAGGCAGTAATTAAGTACAATTAACAAAAATATATACACACACACTGCCTTTCTTTCAACTGAACATCTGTTTTTAACCCTAACACCACCATATTCCTATTACATGCTTTGTTTTTAAACCACGAAGTTCATCATTTACATGTAAGCCTAGAAATAGTATTAGAATAAAACAAAATACTTTGTTTTAAAACACCTCACGTATCATAAGACTTAGGGTGAATATGACTTTATCATAAAAGAAGAAAAAGGTAAACTGGTTTTTAAACTTTTTTTATTGTCCTGATAATTATGTTAATACAAAGAAAAATAAAAGATTGTATGTTACCAGAATGTATTGGCTAGGTTGGAATATCTAATGTTTATATTACTAGAGATGCTTAAAGAATTCGACTAATTTTATATAAATGTTTATTTGTACCTTATAAAATTGTCTGAAATAAAACTTAGCAGATTTGTAATTGAATGCTTTTGTGCAAAAAATAAATAAATAAAATAGAAGTCGGATGTCTGAGTGTGAACTGAAGAATGGTATAGATCTTCTGAATTTTGCTCTGTGACCCCTTTGTATTTATGTAGTGTGTTTTCAGGTCTTTAGAGCCACAGACCTTTTACACCAATAATACTTCCTGCTTCACTGATAATTCAGGTATACTTTTTTAACCCAATCGCAAGCTTTCTTTTTTTTAAGTGTATATTTTTAATATCTAATAGGAACATATAATCCTCATTCAGATTAATCAACTAATCATACAGAACATCTTCGTAAAACAAACAATACTTGCATGTTTCTTTGTTGTGAAATGACGAATGGTATGTATTGAATAACAAAACTGAACTCTGTTTATGCATTTTTTAAATTTCTAGTTAATGCTAGTCTTATAAGATCTTTCTCAATCAAATCGGAGGAAGAACTGCGAAATATTTTATTACACAACGTACATCTTCCCGTCTATCAAAAAAACCTTATATAACTCGAAAACCGTTAAAACAACTGTTATTTACCTTTATAATCTAATCATATTTATAATTATTAAACAGAACATTTTAAGTATAGTAGAGTTCATTGATAAATGTGTTAGTATAGTAGAGTTTATCAATAAATGTGTAAGTATAGTAGAGTTTATCAATAAATGTGTAAGTATAGTAGAGTTTATTGATAAATGTGTAAGTATAGTAGAGTTCATTGATGAATGTGTTAGTATAGTAGAGTTTATCAATAAATGTGTAAGTATAGTAGAGTTTATCAATAAATGTGTAAGTATAGTAGAGTTTATCAATAAATGTGTAAGTATAGTAGAGTTTATCAATAAATGTGTTAGAATAGTAGAGTTTATCAATAAATGTGTTAGTATAGTAGAGTTCATTGATAAATGTGTTAGTATAGTAGAGTTTATCAATAAATGTGTAAGTATAGTAGAGTTTATTGGTTATTATTATTATTCAAACATTATTTGTATTTGGGGTATTAATTTCACGACATCTTTTAGTATTCTAAGAAAGAAAGTGTGATTCTAACTCAAGTTTAATTTAACCAGCACAATTAAAGGTCGAATTGATCAGGTCAACCAAGTCCTAGAGTTGGATAACAAAGCCCAGGGAGCAGCAAGGTATAGTGCCTTGGATAAATGGACTGTCCAGTTGGCAACATTACATCAAACTATCATCAATAAAATGGCATAGATAGTGTTCACTCCAAGCTAAAACACATATTTGTGACCAAACCTGCTTGAAGGAAACCATACAAGTCTGTGATCAGTCATTATGGCTAGAACTAAGGCCCCAGCATGCTAGAAAATACCTTGTACAATCTCGTGCAGTCATCAGCGTAAAACAAGGTAGATATTACCTGGAGGTGAGTCCTATCCGAAGAATTTCTCGGTCCATTTTATCTCTCTTGCACTAAATAAAGCTTTTGTACAAAGTGGTGTTCCTGTTAACCCTACATTTCTGACCCGCAGCAAGTGATCCTTTGTATCTATCTATTTGAGTTTTTTTCCTCCCTAATGTTTAACACGTGCAAGCTAATGTGTGAAGGAAATTCAAAACCAAACTCTCTTCTCTGTTTTAAAATTAAGTATGATTTGTTTATCTTTCTGAGAAACAGACTCTTAGCATCTGCTTACATTCTTGTGAAATAATAGAATATAGTTCAGAAAGCTTCAGATGTGACTTGATGAATGAAACTTGTATGATGCTTCATTTTTATTGTGTAGGAATATTGTAACTTTTAAGAGATAAATAAGCTTATATATATGTCACACTTGAACAAGAATTATTTTTGTTTCTTGCACATTATTAAACTTAGTCAAAATTATCAATTAGTTAAAAATATTTGACAGTTTGTTAGTGAAGCTTCGAGCAGAGTTTTTCAGATTTAAAAATGTTAGTGTAAAGAAGTAGATAGAAAGTTAATAAAACAGGAAAGTTTGTTCGTGTATAGACTTTGGTTTGTGTCGTTTCGCATTGGTAATTTCTTGTTTAATTCTTTACAATAAAGATGTCATATAATCATAAATTATTTGTTGTAAATGGTTAAATAAGAACTGTTTGAATACTACAGTATTATTTTCCAATGTTTAACGAAAGTTTAAAAAATAATTTACTTGGTGAAACTAATGCTTGTTTTGTTTTTTTGTATTTGCATTTGTTAGAGAAAATATAGTTACCAGAAACATTTTGTCTTATCTAACATATGATCTTTTTGGATTTTTTGAAACAAATAACGTATAAAAGGTTATTATTTTCCCGAAGATGAAATACTTGAGAATTACTAATATGTTGGTAATGGCACGAATAGGTTTTCCTTGTGAAAAAAAAACTAAAGTAATCGATTTTCAATATTTAGTGAAATTGATATTGAAGAGTTGTGGAAAGTTTTAGAACTCAGTCATTACTATTACATTGGTAGAGCACTGATGCTTGATTAGATCTCTTTCAAGTTTGATAGGACTTCTAATTCCTGCCTCCATTGCTATTTTATTTTTAATCGTTATACACAACACGACATTTCATTTGGTTCTGAGTGAAAGCTCTCTATGCTGTATTTTTCCATTCTGTAAGGCTTGTTTCCAAAATTATGACTTTTTAAAGAAAGATCATACACAGGTAATTAAAGGTTCTTACAATTTACAGTAATAATAAAAAGAAAATTATCATTTTTCTTGTGCATTTCCGTATAATTTAATTTTTTAAATAAAAAATATAAAAATGTATTGACATGATAGACAAAGCTCTTGAGATTTAGTTATTGAAAAATATTTGTATTTGTAGCATTTTTAATCTACTTAATAGCTTCAGCAATAGTTATATGTAAAAACCTAACTTTTAAGCAATACATTTTTGTCATATAATAAACAGCTGAATTTTTTAGTATTTTTATTTCATATAAAATCATTCAAAGGATTAATTAAGATATGAGAAATACAAGTAGTAATGGAAGATTTAATTATATCAATTATCTTATTCAGTACTTAACACTTTCCATGCATTTTAAATGTTAAACTTGGAATTAATAATTTATACTAATGTTTCTGTTACACTGGGGACTTTTAAAAGATATTACATACAGAGAAAATTGTACTTTAAACCTGTGCGTTCATCCAGAAACTTGGATAAGTTTGGGTGAAAACTAAGTGAGTATTCTCTAAAGGACGTAACTAGAGGGTATCATTAAGTCGCATCAAGTTGAAGATAACTTGTTTTTCAGTTGAATGAATCTACAGTGCTTCTTCACAATTTGCAGATTATCAGTAAAAACATTTGTTTGACAGTTGCGTGTTATTTAACAGTACACATTCAACCAACCTTAAAACTCTCTTCAGCTAACATAATATACCTTACTTTTCCTGAGCCATTGTACTTTTGGTACATAGGTCATGTTATTGTATTTTATTAAACTTGAACTTTTGTAATCATTTTTACTTTATCACCAACCTGCTAACATTCAAAGTATTATCTAAAATGAAATAAAGCTGTAGTTTTCAACTTGGATTTCTTAATTTTTCTGTCCATAAGAAAATAAAATGAGTTTATTGATAAATGTGTAAGTATAGTAGAGTTTATTGATAAATGTGTAAGTATAGTAGAGTTTATTGATAAATGTGTAAGTATAGTAGAGTTTATTGATAAATGTGTAAGTATAGTAGAGTTTATTGATAAATGTACTATACTAACACATTTATCAATGAACTCTACTATACTTACATTTATCAATAAACTCTACTATCCTTACACATTTATCAATAAACTCTACTATCCTTACACATTTATCAATAAACTCTACAATACTTACACATTTATCAATAAACTACTATACTTACACATTTATAGATAAACTCTACTATACTTAC